GTGTATACGTGTGTGTGTGTGTGTGTACGTGTGTGTGTGTTTGAATGTGTGTGTGTGTGTGTACGTGTGTGTGTGTGTGTGTATGTGTGTATACGTGTGTGTGTGTACGTGTGTGTGTGTGTGTGTGTGAATGTGTGTGTGTGTGAGTACGTGTATGTGTCTATTTGTTTCTCTGATATCTAAGTACATGCACGCACTTTTACCGCCTGGTGTATGCACACATGTGTCTCTGTGTGTCTTTGCATGCCAACATGTGCTTGCGTCTGGACATTAGTATGACGCCAGAGATTGATCTAACTGTTAACTTCTTATCCATGGCGTACATACGTTCATTTGCTTTGCTTTTGATGAAAAGAAAAATCCTTCTATCTTGAACAGAAGTCGAGATATTTGGGGGAAAGGAGGAAGAGGGGGGTGGGGGGTTGCCTAAATTCAGAGGTAAAATTTACGAGAAAATGGACGCCAAAGTTTGATGACTTTCAAAGCTTGAGAGTACTTGGAAACTGAACATTTAAATTTTATACGATTTTAATCAACATTTTTCAATAAAATTCAAACAGAAATTTGTTTTTAATCAGACATTAAAGATATTTAGCTCCCCCCCCCCTCCCTTGCGCCCCAAAAAAGGTAAAAATTGCCTAACAGCATGCCTGTAACTTCGATTTCAGTATTTTTAGGAGCGCCTGATTTCACCACGACACAATTGCGCAGCTAATGGAGACACCTGTTTCTTTTTTTGAGCATTAAAGTATTCAAATGGTTATGTCAGCCGTCACAGAAATACCAGTGAGACTTAACACATCAATTACTGACACCCCCCCCCTCCCCCTCCCCAGTATATTAGTATTTTTAACGCCTGTAAATGTTCGCTTGCGCTGTATGTTTCCCAGGAAGTTAAGGCTGTTTCAGAATGCTCTCAGGTCTGCTTGGGTAATAGTATAGATTGTGACGCGCATAGAGCTTGCTGTTGAGCGGGGATTTGCTCTAAACAAATTATGTTATCTATTATCACCGAAATATGTCGATCACCCCGTCCCTTTTCTTCCGGAGCACCCTGACACACTGTAACTGTGAGCTGAATGAACGTCCGTAGAAATCGTCGCTACTCTAGAGTTACAAAGTTCCAAAGCTCAGTACCGAGTTTTGAGAAATATGACGTAAAAAAATTCACTTTTCACAAAATGTCAAAGTTTCTCGAAAGCAATTCTTTGAATATCGTGATAACGACTCCGAATAATATTACGATTTTGACAGAGTAGACAGAACGACATTCTGTTTCTGACCTTATGGTCTCGGTAACTCAAAACCGCCCAAAAAGTCAGAGAGAACTTTGTGGGTGGTTCGCAGGTGCTCTGGATGTGGTTTGCTTCTTCTTTCCAATCACACATCTATCGTCCTTATCTCCCCTCCTTCTCTTCATGTTTGTTACTCCCTTGTAAAACCTCTAATCTTCAGGCGCTCTTATGACCGTATGCAGTTGCAAGCACCGTAAAAGCTCTACTAAAACAAAGAGAGAACTTTGCAATTGTGAGATAGCCAAGTAGTTGGGTTATTAGACCTATGATCGTGACATGTTGGGTTCAGGGGTTTAAGACTCACCTCGGCCAATCTAGGAGAAGGCACTTTACACAAATCATTTTGCCATTTCGCTTCGTCCTTCGGATATGGACGTTAAATTTGGAGGTTAGTCTTCATAAATAACCTTGCAATATTTCAAAGTTTGTCTTCCTTCATCAACTTAACAAAAGAGAAGGAGCAAATAGTTTTAGTTAAATCGGAGTAAAAATTTGGTTGTCATACGATACTAAGATACCAATAAATTTGAAATCAGTATTGCAAATCATTAAATAACTATATCATTAAATTTTTCAGACTTCTCATGTTACATAATCACTCCATTTTCTGTCCTATCTGGCACAAAGAATGCAATATTATTGACTATTTTCAGGTGTCTTCTTTTTTTTACATTCGCTCACTGGGCGTACTTTTAGTAAGGATTCTGAAGTGACTCCCTGAAATTAGAAATCGATGTTAGACATTCTGTTTTTCTTATTGTGTTTCGAAGAAAACGTATAACAGGTACTGTTGATACTCAAAAATACTTTGTTTCTTTGTTACCTTCAGTTACGGTAAATTCAATATGTTGATTCTGATAGATGAACTACGATTTGATCTATCTCTTTCTTTGTATTTGTCGTGTTTATGGTATCATTTTCCGGGACAACAAGGAAAGAAAAAGGGCTGAGTAACTACTGTTTTTCTCCCGAAACACAGTTACAAAATGTCGTTGCAAGGTTTCGATTTGCTCCTTCTCAATCTCAAGACAGCTAGAAAATATCATCTTTTTTTTGCCGTTAAGCCTTTATAGATTGTGTTCTTTTAGAATGTATGTAACAAGCGAAATCTATGAAGAATGCAGCTGATCCTAATGGGTGTGGAGTAGAGGGGAATAGAATGAGAGCTAGGAAAAATAAATTTTAATAAGTAGCGGAGGGAAAAGATTATCACATGGTACCTTGCATGCTTAATTTCAGAACTCTGCTTTTCAATCAGCACAAGGAGTGTTCCTATGATCTAGTCTATTATTTAAGGAGGATGTATTTATGTCTTAAAAATCCGAAGGCACCTTCAGTACTCTCCTTTATTGACATAACATTCTATCTCATACCAGTGGAAGGGTATTTGTGTCTCAATAGAGTGGAATCAAGCGCTCATCAATTTTGGGCATGTTGGGTTAGTGATATCACTTAAAGCTTTTTCTTTTGCTTTGTTTTTGATGAAAAAAATATACATTTACCATTTATCTTGAATACAAATCGAGATATTTGTGATTTAAATAGGTGAGGGTCACCTGGTCTCAGAGGTAAAATTAGTGAGAAAATGGCCTCTAAAGTCTAGTTGTTTCCTTAGCTTGAGAGTCCCTTTAAACAGAAAATTTACACTTTTTATACCTTTAATTGACTTTTTTTCAGTACAAACCCCATAGAAATGTGTTCTTTAATTGACTTGGAGGGTATTAAGCTAAAAAATACAAACTCGATAAAAATTCCAAAACCTGCAAAAAAATGTCAGTTTCTTCACCTTCATTATTTTGACGAGCGCTTGAATTCCCCACAGGGCCTCACATTTTATTACATTGTCATACATTCATACTATCAAATAAATGTGTAAATGATTCTAGACTTCACTGTCTAATTTCAAAGTCCCCCCCCCCCCAATTACACACATACCCTTTTTCAGCTATCTTTTTCAAAGCCGCAGTGGGGAACAAATATACATTATTGTCATAGTCATATTGTGGTATGACAAGTGAATATCTTTAGAACATTTTTGGAAGAGATCCTGTTTCAAACATTCACCTAAACTATTTCAAGTATTCTCGAAGGTTTTAAATGTTATCTGTTTAAAACAAAAGAACAATTGAAATAAAAACCAGCAACATGAAGTTTTTGCTTTTAAGAGACAAGTTAGAGAGAGAGAGAGAGAGAGAGAGAGAGAGAGAGAGAGAGAGAGAGAGAGAGAGAGAGAGAGAGAGGGGGGTGGGAGAGTTAAAGAAAGATAATAAGCGGATACATTTTCTGTATAGGTAAATTAAGATAAAATAGTACTGTCCGGATGAAAAAAGTGCTAATCTAGATTGCTACTGCTTACGATGACAATCAAAGTATAGAGGAGAAGTAAAAACATCGGGAAATGTGTACAAGTCTCTCCTTCTTTGGGGTTTTTTTTTTTTTTTGAGTGTCTATTAAAGAAGCGAGGATGTGTCTTTGCTGCTTGTTGTATGCTAAACGATCACAATATAAATAGTATTTGGACAACAAAACAGCATTGTCTTAATGTCAAATGTCATTTTTATGTATCTATTTTTATTTTTAAATATAGAATATACGACGGTACTCTTTGGTGTGGTCAAACGATGCTGTGGTGGTCATCGGTTTGTAGTAGAGAAAGATACGCGCCCAGCTGTCTGAAGATCTGGGGTTCGGTCCGCTACGGGATTTCTTTGGGGGGGGGATTTCAAGGCGTTTAATTTTCTTTCTTTCTTTCTTTCTTTCTTTCTTTCTTTCTTTCTTTCTTGCTTTCTTTCTTTCTTTCTTGCTTTCTTTCTTTCTTGCTTTCTTTCTTTCTTGCTTTCTTTCTTTCTTTCTTTCTTGCTTTCTTTCTTTCTTTCTTTCTTTCTTTCTTCTCTTTCTTTCTTTCTTTCTTTCTT